CCAGCCCGCTGAAAGGATTGTCGTGGGCTAAGGCAACAACAACGACGTTCCACGGCTGCAGCAGCGTCTCCCTGCTCCGCTCCATCGCCAGCCTCGCCCGTCAGAGATCAGCCCTCCTCATCCCGGCGGTTCAGCGTTTTCCCTGAGATCGCCAACAGGCAGCGCCCTAGGGCAACAAACCGCAGAGCTCAAGGGGGAGAAGATTCAAAATAACAGTTTGCAGAGGATGTGTGTAATGATGACACAAGCTTTGAAATAAAACATCATTCAAAGATTAAAGTGTCTGATTTTAGCCTGTCTGTCAGCTCGGTTGACCTCACAGTGGCTTCTCACACATCTTCCACACAAAACGAGCCGGTAACCTTAAAAAAAAGGTTTTTCAGAATCACCGCAGCTCCAAAATAAACACGAGACGCTCGCATGACACAACAGTCGAAAGCGAATGTGGTCCGCAAAACGAGTCCAGTGGAATAACTCGTTTTCAGCCTGAGCTGTACGCTTTTCACCGCAGTGGTGTCAAACGCACGCTCCCACGACGCCGGCAGCCTTCACTCAAACGGCGCTGCGCTGATGAAGGTGCGCACACCTCTCCCCAGTGCTCGCTGACTCGCATCAGCATAAATGTGAGACCGCAAAACGAATCCAACGAGAAACTTCGCCCTCAGCAGGAGCGGCACGCGTCTCACCGCAGCGGTGTCAAACGTGTGCTCCCGCGGCGCCGGCAGCTTTCATCCAAACAGCGTTGCGTTGATGAAGGTGCGCTCACCTCTCCTCAACACATGCCGGTTCACATCAACATGAATATGAACCCGCAGCCTGAGCGCGGCACAGAGGCGCGCTCAGAGCCCTTTCGAGAAAGCCTCACCTTGGGTCACGCAGAACACACTTCCGCAGCGCATGACGGCAATCGAGGCTGTAGACTGGCTGACATCCGTAAGAAACATGACGCACCACCTAAACGTACGCCCACTCCACGAACGTTACGCGGAGTGGCGGCCGACATGCTCGCCAGACAGATGGATGAGCAAGCTGATAAACAAGGATTATATGCTACAATTTGCAGCTCAACCTCCTCCGTTCGGAGGAGTTTTAGAGACATCCTGATGCATGCTCAATAATTCAGGTAGAAAAAAACAAAAAAGTTAAATCTGGTCCTCTGGACATTCAAAAAAACAAAACAAAGCAAAACAACAAAAAAAATGTAGAAACGTTTCGTCTCTCATCCGAGAGACTTCCTCAGTCTGAGGTGCTGTATTCAGCTCAGTCTCTTAAATAGCACCTTCTCAGAGTGGATCAACCAGTTTTGCTGCTGACAACCAAAACCAGCTGATCACATGCTCAAGAAGGACCATCAGCCTAACAATGGATCATTAGCACACTGATGGCGGTTTACTGTTCACAGAGGGCTGAGTGATACTAGCAATCACAGCATTGTAAGAGGGGGACAGTTGAACACGTAGGCCTCCACCCCTGTTTAATGATGGACGGTTTCTTTTCACAAAGATGGCCTCCTTTACTCCTCTCTCAAACCATCGTTCCTCTCTGTCCAGGATGTGAACATCTTCATCCCTGAAAGAGTGACCGCTGGCCTGGAGATGAGTGTAGACCGCAGAGTCCTGGCCTGATGATGTTGATCTTCTGTGCTGGGCCATCCTTTTGGCCAGTGGCTGTTTTGTTTCCCCGATGTAAGACTGATCACAGCCCTCCTGACAGTGAACAGCATACACATTACTCTGTACCGGGGGACTGGATCTTTGGGATGAACCAGTCTTTGCCGTAATGTATTTTGGGGTTTAAAAGCCACTGGGACGTTATGTTTAGAAAATAAACGTCTCAGTTTCTCTGATACTCCCTCAACATATGGAATGACCACTGGTCTGGGTTCCTCCTTTTCACCTGATGGCTGACTGGAGTCCTGTTTGGGTTTCTTCTCTGCTTTTAGGAAGGCCCAGTTAGGATATCCACATTGCTCTAGAGCCTGTCTTGTGTGGGATTTCTCCTTCTGCCTGGCTCCTGAGCTAGTGGGGACGCTGTCTGCTCTGTGATACAGAGTCCTGATGACTCCT